CATGCAATGTTGAATGTGCATATCCTTGCGCGTCTTATGCTAAATAACATCTCGATTGTCATTTTCCAACTGTGTTAACTACGGGTCTGTTTTCGTGTTTCTCCTTGTTTGTATAAAAAAACTAAGGAGGGAACTTCTTAAGTAAGTCAAGATGGCCACTAGACCACAGTCTAACAAGCGCGCTGCGCAAAATTCAAATATATATAGCCTATGTACGCCGACTAAAACAAACAAGCAAAAAATCCAAAAACCTAGATCAAGTAATGTCGAGCATAGACAGATTACGCAAATTTTCCCTCACACAACGACTATAATTAGAATTTTTGATTTGATTACAATTTAAAAAAAAATAGAATCTATCCGCAACCTGCATTTTCTATCAAACCATTAATTCATTGCTAAAACGATGCCCCGCTAATCGCTTCTGGGCCGTAATTTGAAACTTTTTAGACAAAGGGTCTATTTTCTATTGGTTGATTTTGGAAATGGTTTCAAATAAGCGTCTCCAAATCATCTGAATGCAACATAATTTAGTCATGCGCACAAACAAGTTAGGGTCTTCATTACGTCCCATAATCCCTGTATTCGCCTACACTTGCGTACATAAATACAAATGTAGGAAATGTTTGTAATGTGGTGTGGCTACTGGGGCCATTCCATTTAATATCCACACCCCCCTGTTGACGAGATTTTCCGAAGGGTTCTGAAATTTCTGAGGGGGTTCCAAGTTGAAAATTTCCGAGGGGTGTTGTAAAACCAAAATTTCTGAAGGGATCAAAATTTTTTTTTAAATTTCTGAAGGGCCGGGCAAAATTCTGAACATTTTTGAAGGGGCACTACCTGTTGACGAGAATTTCCGAGGGGGTCAAGAAAATCCCTGAAAATTTCTGAGGGGGTCAGGAAATTCCCGATAATTTCAGAGGGGCTCAAGAAATTCCCGATAATTTCTGAGGGGGGTCAAGAAATTCCCGAAAATTTCTGAGGGGGGTCAAGAAATTCGCGAAAATTTCGGATGGGGACAAGAAATTCCCGAAAATTTCCGATGGGGTCAGGAAATTTCCAAAAATTTCCGATGGGGTCAAGAAATTTCCAAATATTTCCGAGGGGGTCAAGCAATTCCCGATAATTTCGAGGGGTTAGGGAATGTTTTGCGCAGAACCTCCTTAAGTATTTACAAATAACTTACATGAAGTTTCTTGAATAAAAGTGAGTGCGCAGAACGTAGAGTTATTGAGAAGTGAAGGAGCAATCTGCGCTTTCAGTTAATAAACGAGCGGGGATACCATGCATGGTGCATCACAGTCTTAATCTTTGTTATTATCCATGCTTACTATAGCGATACTACATTGGAGGGCCACCAGTTTACTGTATATTGTAAGGTGATACGCACCTGAAATAAAGTTTTTATCTTATCTATTCCGATTTTCCTGCTCGACGCCAGCTGAAAACAAGCCAGTCATTCTTGAAAAATTATTTTCAAACCAAGGAGCATAAAACATGCAACCTAATTCAGACGAACACCGTCAAATTGCCAGAATCTAGCCCTTTTGAAGGATCCTTTTGGCTTAGAATTAAACAGACTACTTTGAAAAGACCACTAAAAAGATCTTTTTGGCTTAAAAATGTTGCGCCCATACACGGCAAAAAAACGCCGAGCCCGTTGCTCAACAGTACTGAACAATGTTTTGCTGCCCACGTTGTTCACACTTGTCAACAATATTGAACAATGCTGTTGAGCCTGAATCGGGTGTAACAATATTGTTCAATATTGTTGACAGCTATGAACAATGTGGGCAGCAAAACATTGTTCAGTCCTGTTTTCATCAGTATTGCATCAACCTGAGCGTTTTTTGCCGTGTAGGTGACACCCATCCCACATTCATCGCAGTTATAATGCCACCCTCCCTAACCTCAGGGACTCCACTAATAGTCGGCTTTGACTAGCTGCATGGGAGGACAATGCACCGAGCCCAAACTCATATAACGCGCGCTAGCACACGTATTGATGTCACCTTTTACTATCACTAGCCACACCACATTACAAACATTTCCTACATTTGTATTTATGTACGCAAGTGTAGGCGAATACAGGGATTATGGGACGTAATGAAGACCCTAACTTGTTTGTGCGCATGACTAAATTATGTTGCATTCAGATGATTGGAGACGCTTATTTGAAACCATTTCCAAAATCAACCAATAGAAAATAGACCCTTTGTCTAAAAAGTTTCAAATTACGGCCCAGAAGTGATTAGCGGGGCATCGTTTTAGCAAGGAATTAATGGTTTGACAGAAAATGCAGGTTGCGGATAGATTCTATTTTTTTGAAATTGTAATCAAATCTAAAAATTCTAATTATAGTCGTTGTGTGAGGGAAAATTCACGTAATCTATCTATGCTCGACATTACGTGATCTAGGTTTTTGGATTTTTTCTTGTTTGTTTTAGTCGGCGTGCATAGGCTATATATGTTTGAATTTTGCGCAGCGCGCTTGTTAGACTGTGGTCTAGTGGCCATCTTGACTTACTTAAGTTGTCCATCCTTAGTCTTTTATACAAACAAGGAGAAACACGAAAGCAGACCCGTTAGTTAACACAGTTGGAAAATGACAATCGAGATGTTATTTAGCATAAGACGCGCAAGGATATGCACATTCAACATTGCATGCGCACGAATGAATCTACTTTCATATTATTCAAGCATTTCGATCCAACGAAATTAAATTTGTTCGCTCGAGCGGTATTTGAACTCGCATCTTCGGTTTAGAAACCAGGGTGCGATAATTCGCGTACCAACGTACCGGAGGTACGCCAAATTTATGATCTGGTACTTCTTTGTTTTAGGCAAGTACCACGGTACGCGGAAATTTGCTATTCGCGTACTTACATTTTTCTTCTAGCAATAACTAGCAAACCTGCAAATGTATTCAAAACCGTGAAGAACTTTATTTTGGGATGAAAAAGCCAAAAGGTTATCTTTGCGCTTCATCAAAAAATTTATCGTCATCGTCCGACTGAAAAAAAAATCACTCGGGTGAGCTATTTTAAAATCGTTATCATCAAACGATAATTTTATCGTTTTCGTTGTAGTATGGACACTAACATTTTTTTACAAGTTATCGTATCGTTATCGTTGTGTGGTGTGACCTGGGCTTAATTGTCAATGCTCGGGACTCGAATTCGCCCAGCAAAAAACCGCCGAAACCATGAAAAAATATTCAAAAAATTAGTTTATTTCCGACCTACCTACTCTAATTTTTTCACCTAAAAAACCTGTGGTTCCGGTTTCATATCGTCCAGTGAGGAAAACTACACTGTATGTAGCTGAGGTCAGACTGTTAGCACCCTCGGTAAATCCACTGTAAATGTGTGATGGCATTCGAGTCACAACGTCGACGCTTTGAAAACTGTTATATTATGTTTTACAAATACCACAATTAAAGATTCGTTTGTACAAAATTGCCCATACACTTTTTGCTTTTGGACCAGTAAACTATACGTAGGTATAAAAACGCACGACTCGGAAGTAGTCTTAGGTACGTCTTGACTCTTAACTTTGTACCAGACCAGGTACGCGGCAAAAGTTGTCGGATACGGCTATAAATATTGAAGTATCGCACCCTGGATACCCGAAGATGTGAGTTCAAATCCCGCTCGAGTCAACGAATTTTTTGTTGGTCTATTGCAGTGTCAGAATAATATGAAATTGGTTTTTCGTTTCTCTGGGGATGGTTCTGAAATTACGTACATAATCTAATTTCCTCAAGTCTGCAATATTTTACAGTTTCGGGCACGCTATTCAGTGGGTACGAACTTCGTTAGGTGGCACCCATGTAAACATGTGATATTTCAGTCATTGCACGTTCAAGGTATTGTGTTTTTGACGGGAAAGTATTCTGTGATACGGGCATATCTTAAAGTTAGAGCGCGCAACGAATAATGATGACAGTATAGGCATCAGTAACACAAAATATATGATCCCACCGCAAATAAAGCAGCGTGAATGGTGAATGCATTTTGGAACATACCGCAACATAAATATATCATGTTAATCTACATTTGGTAACTTGTGTTTTAGTTGACTTATTAGCGCAAATGATAAGATTGGAAAATCACAGTTTTTGACAAAACAAACGCGCTACATTAAACGCAGACACGATCAGTAGCAACCCAGTTTAAATTTCATTGCAATTTAATAAGATGTTTTATTAAGAATCAACACTTTCGGAAAAACAAAACTTTAATGGTATATACTTGTACGACATGGATTTTTAAAGTTGCACATTTCATAGTATAAATATTTATTATTGCGGTTTGCAGAGTGTGGCCATATATTCGCGAGATGAGGCGTAATTTTGTAATAGGAATAACTATAAATGGCATAACTATTAGGAACTTGGTTTTTCAAAACGTGAAACTCTGAACGTGAGATTCCGATCCGTATATTTTTCTTGCTATGACGAAATTTTGGGATTTTAGTTGACTGGCAGGAATAAAAAAAACCCCGACTATTTGGTCATATTTGAATGTATTGATCGAGTTTTGAGACAGTTTAAGACTCAAACGATGAAATACGGTTCATTTTTTCATGCTACAACCATTCTGATAGGCGAAAAATCGTCCACAAGTTGTTTGACTGTCGGTTGTTGGAGATTTACCAGTGTAGGGATAAATAGGGATAGATATGGATAAATTGCCCGTTCGCGGGCTAGACGATAAAAGTACGTTATGTAAGTAAATATGTAATGGTTCAAAGATGGCGACGGGAGAAACGTACTAAAAACGTTAAACGTGAGAGAGTTGATTTTGTTTGTTAAAGTTTGAGATTTATTAAAGGGATTATACAATTGTGAGTTAGCATTAACATTTTGTGACTTATCGTGGACACTCGGGAGGCGAATTCACGATACAGTGGCACCTTTTCGACGGGATTTTCGAGTTGGATTTGTCAACGTAAACAAATGTGAGTATTCGACTATATATTGAAATTTGTGACACAATATGGAGAGACAAATAGCTGAGCTATCGAGCAAGATAAAGACCCTTAACTTTAGGCGCACAAAAACGAGTGAAATATTAGAGAAACAAGATCGACAAGCATCTGAACGTCAAAAACAAAGTATTATTAATATATCGAAAGCAGTAAACGAGCTAAAAGAAACAATCGAAGAAAAAAAAATTACGAAAGGTGAAGATGAAGGGGCTATAGCTGAGTGGAGCAAACTATATGAAAGCGAACTTGAGAAAGCAGATCAGGATATCAAATTATTAGATCAACAGATCAAGAAAATGGATGATGATGAAAGAGAAGCCAAAACAGCTTACGAACACGAAAGAAAGTTGGCATTTGAACTTGAGTTATTTGAACGAAAGGCAAAATTTCAGGAAGAGTTAGAGAAAACGAAACAAGATGAAAACAATCAACACAGTAAACCAACCTCTGGTGCAAAATTACCCAAACTACCCATCACAAAGTTCAATGGAAGAATTGATTTATGGCTCCCATTTTGGGGGAAGTTTAAAAATCTGAAATTGACTCCACAGACATACCGATTTTAACAAAATTTTCTTATTTAAAAGAACTGTTGGATGAGAAAGTTCGGACAGATATAGATGGTCTTCCATTTACCGAAGCGGGTTATGACAAGGCGAAAGAAGTTTTGGAATCAGAATACGGACAGATGGCTGATGTTGTAAATACATATGTGGTTAACATTATGAGCTTACCAGTTATTAATGGCAAGGATCCAGCAAAGATCAATGAATTTTACAAACAGCTTAGGTACAATGTTCAGAGCCTTGATACCCTTGATAGATTGGCTGATGTAAAAGGGAATGTTCGGGCAACATTAGATAAATTAAAGGGTATAAAAGCTGATCTTGTTCATGGAAAGGAGGACTGGCAAAACTGGGGATATGAAGACCTCCTAAAGGCCCTAAAAACATGGCGTGAAATCAATCCAATAGAAGAGAAATTTGAGCCACAACAGCGCAGTGGGAAAGGAAAAGGTTATTCAAGGTTCTACCATACTCAAGATGCAGAACAGAAATCACGGCGACCAGAATGTGTTTACTGCGAAGAAAACACACATAAAGGGACAAACTGTTCGAAAATCAAAACCAGAGAAGAATGAAAGAAAATTCTAGCTCAAAAGGGACTGTGCTTTAATTGCACAGGGGCACAGCACCGTGCCAGTGAGTGCAAGAGTAAGTTAGGATGTCAAAAATGCAAACGGAGACATCACACATCAATTTGTGATCACGTGACGGAACAATTCCTCGGAGCTAGTAGTAGTACAAATGTTATTCATCCAGTGGTTATTGTACAAGTAGGTGGGTTCAAGTGTCGTGCTCTATTAGACACTGGTGCAGGGAGCTCCTATGTGTCGGCTGCATTATTAGATCAGATTCCGAAAAAATGCTCCAAGAAAGAAGTAAAGAAGATTGACATGATGCTTGGAACAACAACAAGAGAGGTTGAACTATCAACTATTCAAATTGGGGGGCTCACTGGTGATTTTTCCTTGTCGGTGGAAGTAACTAAAGTTAACAAGAACGAACTGTTACTTTTGGATAACCCAAGGTATGAAGAGATCATTAAGAACCACTCACATATGAAAGGAGTTGCTATGGAAGATCATGACCTAAAAGATAAACTTCCAATTCATATTATTCTCGGGGCGAGTGAGTTTGCGAAGCTGAAGACAGAGAAAGCTCCTAGAGTTGGTCTTCCAGGTCAACCTGTAGCCGAGTTGACTCGGTTCGGTTGGACTATTATGTCCCCAGGCAAGGAATCCGTGGATGTGTCAAGTATGCTTCTAGCTCAGACATTTCAAGCTGACTATGAAGAACTATGTCGGCTTGACGTCTTGGGCTTAGAAGATAGACCAACCAACAGCCAGAGTATTGTCTACGATGAGTTCAAGGAGCAACTTACTCGGGATGAAACTGGACGATATGAGACAGGGTTACCATGGCGTGGAAACCATCCCCCATTACCAAACAATCGAGCTAGCAGCTTACGTCGCCTGGCAGGTTTGACAAGTAGACTTGATCGTGCAGGACTGAGATCTAAGTATAACCAAATTCTGGAGGAGCAAAAGACAGAAGGGATTATTGAAAGTGTGAGCAATCCCAGCGAAGGTAGAGAGTTTTATATCCCCCACCAACCAGTGCTGCGAACTTCTGCGGAATCAACGAAGCTCAGGATTGTCTATGATGCATCGGCTAGAGCTCATAACGCAGCGCCTTCACTTAATGAATGTCTAAACCCAGGGCCCAGTCTGACAAATAAACTTTGGAATGTATTAGTCAGAGGACGCTTCCACCTGGTAGCATTGAATGGTGATTTACAGAAAGCGTTTCATCAGATTCGAGTGAGGGAACCCGATCGTGATGCTCTCCGCTTCCATTGGCAGACGGACGGACAGTCTGACGTTGAAATTTTGAGATTTGCTAGAGTGCCTTTTGGTCTAGCTCCCTCCCCATTCTTGCTGGGGGGAGTTCTTGACATGCATTTGAGCACCTGGGAGGACCGAGAACCGGACATCGTAGCTAAACTTCGAGATGAACTGTACGTTGATGACCTGATCTCCGGATCTACAACAGTGGCGGAAGCTCGTAAGTTCAAAGAGAAGATAACAGAAATGTTTAAAGAGGGCTGTTTTAACCTTCACAAATGGCATTCAAATGATCAAAATTTAGAGTCGGAAGATCTGCCGAAAGGGGAATTTACTTATGCAAAACAACAGTTGGGGACTACCTATGGGGGAGGCTGCAAACTACTTGGTCTCGAATGGTCAAAAGAGTCAGATACACTTCATGTAACCCTACCAACAGAAGAGACCGTGAAAACGAAATGAGGTATTTTAGCTAAGCTTGCTAAAATATATGACCCACTGGGATTCATTTCACCATTATCGTTGCGAGGTAAGCTGATATACCGGTCCATCTGTGATGCGAAGATAACCTGGGATGCTCCAATGCCTGATAATCTGATCAAAGAGTGGAATCAGTGGGAGAATGGTCTGCCGGTTGATGTCGAAGTGCCAAGATCGTTAGTAGTCCATAGAGAGCCAATCGAAAGCATCAAGCTACATTCGTTTGGAGACGCCAGCAAAAACGAGGTAGCAGCGTGTGTGTATGCAGTCGTGGAGCAGGCATCGGGCACAAACCAAGGCTTGGTAGCAGCAAGAGCTAGACTACCCAAGAAAGAACTAACAATCCCGCGTTTAGAGTTGGTGGCAGCACACATGGCCTCCAACCTGGTAGTGAATGTAAGCGAAGTGTTGAATGGATTTCCTGTTGAAAGTAGTTATTGTTGGTCTGACAGGACAGTGGTTTTACACTGGATCAAGGGAAATGGGGATTATAAACAATTCGTGGCCAATCGTGTCAAGAAGATCAATGACCACCAAGATCTGATTTGGAGACATGTACCAACGAGTGATAACCCGGCAGATTGTGCAAGCAGAGCTGGTGACTTAGGTGATGCAGAACTGTGGTGGCGGGGACCAAATTGGCTAAAGGACCCTGAACGTTGGCCAGATGACATTGTGCCTCAA